GAAATCTGCTCTCTGTGAGCTTCAACGCAAACACACAGAGCAGAGTCAGTGATCATGCTGGAGAAGTGAACCAGGTGAAGTGAAGATAACTCCAAGACTACTCGAGTTGACAACAACTCTTCTCGTTGCTGTAAGGAAGTGCAATAAAACCTTTGAGAGTAAAAAGCCAATTCTCAATCAATGTACCTGTTCAACAACCATAAACACACAAACCTATTGAAAGCTAATATAGCATACTGTATATAGAGTGACATTGCTTTTGATGCTCTATGAACATTGTTGTGTTTTAAATATTAAATTCTAATCCTGTTTTGATTTTTTTAATAATATTTTTTCAAATCACTTTTAGTCATGATAGAGAATGAGTATTGATAAAAAAGAAGATGCAAAGGCCACCATTTCGCAGTGTGTTCTTTGACATGTTAAAGTGAGCCAACGCCACTTCAATATACTATATACACTATATAATAATAATATACTATATAATCAATATACTATTGGAAATGATTGCCGTTGACCTGAAAACCACAAAAAGGTTTCAGTGTTTCAGTACATCATCCAAAGCGAGCTGACATTTGTCACATGACGTGAAACATGATGTTAACATAAACATTAATATATTTAAAAGCAGCCCATTCACACTGTTACACAATACGGGAAATTTACTCTTCGGTGTAGCGCGATTTTTTCCTGTGCACCGCCACTTCTCACAAGCTGTCGATACTGGACAAGGGGATGCTAACACACAGCTAATTAGCACCAACAAGACTACCCAGACGCATAAGGCCTGTGTGCCGGCTAATAAATCTATAAAGTGGTAGTCCTTCCTGGAACTCTCCTGGTGCAAAGCCTCAGAGGAAATCATTTCCCTGACAAATGGGAGGACAAGTAACAGGATGAGCCCAACGTCCTGAGATTTGTGATGAAACCTGCTGGCCTGCATTATTATCCAGGCAGAGTGGCTCTTCAACCCCTGTTCTTAGTAGGACACAGAGGTGGACACCTCAACTGCAGGACCCTGGATCTCCATCTGATGACCTGGATAACATCCTGTCCTCACACAGAAGGACTGAGAGTAGATCAGAAAGTGACTGTTCCCTCTGCCAAGAGAGAAGAGGGATCAAAACAAGAAAAAGACACAACACAACAAGCCATAAACGTTGAAAGAGAGCCATTTCAGACCTCGCCTTAAGAGAGCTCTTATCATGGGAGACATCATAGCCAAGAGGAAGAGTCTCCACCCCACTCACTAACAGCCACCTGTAAGGATTCACCCCCCTTGCAGTTCACTGACCACATGAAAGAGCTGGTCACTGCTGGAACCAAACCTTCCCTCGAACTACTCACATTTTCTCTACCCTTAACCCCCCTCAGCATCTACTTCCAACACTGGCTTTAAATCCTCATTTGTCACACTTATGAAAACACCAGTGAAATATTTATTAAGGCTTGCTTGCGCATTTAAATCTCTCAGCCATAGAAACTTTGAGGAAATAATACATCATCTGAAATTCCTCCTCATGTTGCCTTGATATTCCAGGTAAATAAATGTTTTTGATTGCATGGCCTTAGCAGATGAAAAACTTATTGGCACTAAACAACTGATTTAATGTCTTACTGTCAGGATTCGACCACAGCACTGCGACTGCTCTTGTTAAGGTCTTCAATGACAATCATTTAAACACAGACAGTGGTAAAATTTCAGTTTTAGTACTACTGGATGTCAGTGCTGCATGCGTGTTAAAATGTTAAAAACCACAACCAAGCCAGAAATCTTGGCGTAGTAATGGACTATAAACACAAAAGTATTGCATTTTAATGCAAAAGTATTGCGAGAAAAAGCAAAACATACTTCGTAGGAACACAAGTTATTGTGAGGTAACACAAAAGTATTCTCCCCCTAATCCTCCGGGTGCTCCGTACTGCTGGACCACAAGACAAACTACTTCACTTCTCCACTTCTTTAAGCTGTACATTTTGATTTTGAAAAGGTCATTGCTGTTCAAATACATAATGTTACCCTCCACTTGTCTGCTGGTAGAAAGACCTCACTGTTCTTCCAGTGAACTTGAAAATGCCTGCGTCTTTCCACAATCAACCGACTCACAGGTGAAGACTTTCTAGTTGAGTTTCATTCCACACCAGACACCTTCTGGGTATGTTTGACTCTGTTGTTGTGCACTCTGAGATTTACAACATTTTTTTCATCATACCACCATACATTACAATACATTCACATGCTCATGTACGAACAAAGTGTAAAGGTTTCGGCTTTGTTTATGCAAATCCTTTTTGGACGTGAATTCTCTCAATTCTTGCTGCGTTGAGAAAAAATATAATAATCGGACTATTATTTTGTTGACGTGGTTTTTAAAGTCCATCAGTAGGCCAGGATATCTGATTTGGGTTTTACTTTTCAGAGATTTACGACATTCAGTCCTTTTTTCTTTGACAACAAACAGCAATTTGAGTTGAATCCATATTTAAAGCCCCCGTGTGAAGAAGTTTAAGATTTCTGATATTGGTGACTCTTGTATTAATAAAAGACACCGGGGCCCCACAGATCTAACCTGAGGGCGCTGGACTGAAAGCAATGCATAAGTTTGCCCCAGTTATCACTGAAATGGTTTCATTTTTCTACAAACAAAAACTTCTACCGGAGTAATTTGACAGATGCTATAAATTCATTATCACCCTATATTAAGTGGTTATAAAACCAAGGTAGAGGCTATAACATCAAATGTGCATTAAAGAAAACATCATTACTAAGTTAAGATACTATCTGACAATTACTAATTAACTTTTAACACTTTCTATGTCTATCTTGTAATTTATGTGATATTTCTTCTTTCTTTGCCTTGTTTGCTTTTTCATCTTATTGATTTGGGTGAAAATGGGTGGCGTTCACAACAGGTATCACCATTGTTGACTCCGCCCCTGTCTAACCCGTCCTTCCTTCGTGGGTTTGAACAACAGTGGGGATGCACATAAAAACAGAGTGAGTGAGAAAGAGAGAGCGGCTTCCTCCACATATAGAGAGCAACAGACAAAACTGTCCGCTAGCTGCAGATCGGAGACCTTTATCTACCTCATCACCCAACAGACCTCCAGAGGGTGAGACAACCTGCACACCTCAACTAATATTCACTGCTTCAAACACACAGCAGGGCCACAAAGAGAAGGAAAAACAACATATCTCTATCAATGTATTAAAAATAGGTACTAAAGTAAAAATATGACGACCAGATTAAGGTTACCAAGGAGAGTGCCAGCATTACAGACCGCAACGCCCATCAACATGATCAATTCATTTTTTAAATATTTATTTGATTTGTAAAAATGTCAGAAAATACTGAAAAGACATTCCACACACTTTCCTAAAGCCCAAGGTGCTGTCCTCACAGAGCTGGCTTTGTCCTTAATGTTTAAAGACCAATATTAAATTTACAATAACAAACTTATTTTAATATTCAAGGATCGTTTCAGCACTCTGAGCCTAAATCCAGGTTACGAATATGAAAGGAGGTGTGGAAAACACTCAAACTGGCAAATAAGTTACAAAAGGTAAATACATTAAAAAACCTATACTAATAAGACTTTTTTCCATGTTTCTGAAAGTCACAGTAAGAGCTTATTCTCAATTTTTGTTTATTAATCATCAAATAGTAGGCCTACTGTTTACTGTAAGCCTATTTTTGGGTTTTGGACTGCCAGCCAGCCAGTTAACACTAGAACCGCCAGGGTTGTGACCTAACCGCCAAAAATGCCTGATTTTGTGATTATTTCTACTACGTGTTGCTCCAACACACTTTGGGAAACATTTAGCACATTGGCTCTGTATTTCCTATAAACACATCCCCATATTTCAGGCATTTAAGAATGTTTATTCTAATTTATTCATTGTCTTCACCGTGCAGGTAGTTCACCTGGGCACGCTCTCTTGAAGGGACCGCAGAACACACCTCTATCACAGGGAAAAACTATTTGTTTTGATGAACATGTAGAAACACAAAACCTATGAGCAGCGGCTTTTATGCATGTTTACTTCATACAAGTGACCCGTCAGATGCAGAATCAACCCAGGACACATCGCTCAGCCCACCGTCAGACTCTCCTTCACTCACTGCGCTGAGCAAGTGTGATGTCTGTAGTGGGAAACACGTTGCCAATAGCTACATATAATGTTTAAACAGTGAAATGAACAGCGCTAAAATGACTGGATTCTCTAAAGGGGTAAATTTTACCCGCTGGCGCTAAAACTGGCTTTATCTTGACATTTTTAACAATAGTGGGTGCTACATAACACACTTTTACGAAAAGTCAGAGACTGGGGTACTTGAATATTATATTGAAACAAAGATACATAGGCTACAATCAAAAAACAGCCGCGGGAAATTTGACCCGTTGGCGGTTCTAGTGTTAAATATGTCAGGCACAGTTTTTTTTTATAAACCAAATGATTAATCAAGAGAATAATGTGGAGATTGATAGATAATAAAAACATAATTGTTGTTGGAGTCTAAAGGATGGGCTCAGATGTGATGTCATTGTCCAACTGCAATAGCTGAGCTGTTGTTGTAAATACTGTTACACAGAGCGAGTGAATACTGCAGCTTTTAGAAACATGAAACCTCACATTCATGCAGGGTTCTTAGGGTCATGGGAAAAAAACCTGGAAAAGTCATGGAAATCTAAAATGTGTATGAACCCTGTCTTTGGACTGAGCTTCATGTTCCACTTGCCAGGAAAAGTGTTGAACTTTGAATGTGGCTCTGACTTTCTGTGTGTCTTCCAGCTCTCTCTCTCCCTCTCTCTCTCTCTCTCTCTCTCTCTCTCTCTCTCTCTCTCTCCAGCTGATCGGGCTCCTCCAACATGCTCTGCACCCTGCTCTACCTGTCTGCTCTCATCGGGCTGGCAGGTGAGCACACACATGGCAGCCATTTTGAAACTCCATCATAATAAATTAGCAAACAATCTCAGGAGCAGAGTAAAATGATTTTAAGTGATAATCTGTCAAACGTGACGAGATCTTCTGAAATCTCTTTGTTTCTAAGAAGCAGTGACTGATTATGTAATAAGAAAAGTCTTCTTGGTTGGTTAGCAAAACCCGTTTTATTCCTTCATGAAGTCAACTTTTGAATGAGCAGCCTTCCCTGTTGTTGTACTCTAATTCTGACCTCTCATGTGTCTCCATCGTCTTCAGGTGCTCAGATATTTTCCCTCCCTGCAGTGTTTAACATCAGCTCATGCCCCATCACGTTTTATGGACAGAAGTACGAACAAATCTATGTGAGTAGGATTTGTTTGTTTTCACCTACTGTCATCATTTACATTTAGTCTGCAGCTGTATAAAGATGATGTGTGCAGACTGAGTGAATGTCAACTGACAACTGATACATCCTTTACATATGAATCTGGAGTAAAACCAGCAGTTCATCAGTATTGTTATGGTAATTGTTGTGTCTCTGATTTCAACAGGTGAACTCCACAAATGTCTGTTTCATTGACCTTTTCAACAATCAAACCAGACAGGACTGTATTGTAGGGTTTCCATTGTTGGCAGACAAGGCTCTGTTTGACATAAATCCATTTCCATCAAAGGATGCGGAAAATGATATCCATAAGACTTTACCAACTATTAAGGGCAACATAAAATGCCTAGTAGTGTTATAGTCTGGTGAGTGTTGTTCAGTGTCACGACTAATTACAATTGACCGGTGTTCAGTGTTTTGATGAGACAAAACTTCATTTGTAGATCATATCAAAAACTTTCCTCAAAGCTTTTGTAGAAAATGACCTAACTGTGTCTGTCTTGTCTCCTTTGTTCAGTCTTTACAGAGTATGTCTTCTGGCTAACTTTGGGACACAAACAGCTGCAATAATAACAGCGAGAATTCATCTGTGAGTATAACAAATAAATAAATAACTAAATATTGCTCTAAAAATACTTGCATAAATTCTGCATACAGAGACAGTTCCCTGTTACTCTTGTTTAACAAGAGGAAAAGACAAAATTATAATTGAAGTTGTCTCTGCTCTGTGATAGTAACAGTGGTTGTGTTTGTTGCCGTCTAGGTGATTAGTTTGATGGTCAATGGTATCACAGGATACAGTGAATTCTAACACATCTGTGAAGTACTTAGACATCAGCAGATGCAGACACTCAGGTTGGCGAATCACTACCTCCATAAATCTATATTGGGGCCCTTAAAACCTAATTATTTTTTAAAATATTTTTTATGTTTTGCTTTTGCTTACAGTTAGCAAACTAATAAGTCAACAATGACATTAACCTGATAGTAACCATTCCTTCACATCACAGGTGTTTGTATAAATATGGTGAAGTGGTGAGCTCTGATCCAGATACCTGCTCCTGTGTAACCTGTGATGATACTGCTGTCCTCAGAGTCACTGGCTGTCCACGCACTGACGATGTCAAGGCAACAACACGTAAATATGTGTCCTTCATATTTGGAAGACAGAGTTGGGATTTTACAGGGACTTGATGAGACTTTATTTATTCAGGGAAGTGTTCGCCATTAGAGAGCGTTCACAGTAATGTGAAGCAGCAGCAGCAGATGTTCATCAGCAGTAACTCAACACAGCTCACATGCAGCAAAGACATCAGTAAATAATGAGGCTTATATCTGTTAATTAAGAACAGGAACGTAGAGGTGAAAATAAACCTCAAAGCTCAGAGATTCAGTGACTGAGAGCTGAACACAGACAGACTTGAAATCAGAGCCTTTTATGGTCTCCAGCAAAGCCACACATGTCACGTCAATCTGTTTAGTGTGAGACAAGGATTTGGTTAGATGGAGGAGATGGAGCATTTATCCTCCACTGTGAGACCCCAGTTGAAACTCAGTGTTCACCGCACTTTGAAATTAAAGCAGACTATACTGAGCCCATGGAAAATGTTAATAGACCCACAATCAGAACTTCATCTGCATCAGGACAAGGTTCTAACAGCACAGTTATTTAAAAATAAATAAATAAATAAATAATAATCATCATCATCATCATCATAAATACCAAATGCTGATTCCTTCAAGTGACTGCTGTTGGTTGACATGTGAGCCAGTGGTGTGGAAACATAATAATTAAATATTAGGAGATAAATACCTACATTATGACTTTGAGCGACCCCTTGTGGCTGCAGCCCTCAGCAGCAACAGCTCATGACGAGGCAGCTGTTGCTCCATTCTGGGGCCTCTTATGTTTAACATCCACGTGCTGCTACTGGCTCAGATTATGGAAAACAACAAAATATGCTATTAGAATTATGCAGATGACACACAGGTTTACACTACCATATAAACAGGGGGCTATAACCCCATACAAGTGCACTGAACAAATCAATAATTTGATGTGCTGGAATTTTCTTCAAGTAAACAAAGACCAAACTGAAGTCATTGATTTTGGAACAAAGGAAGAATGATTAAAAGTCAGCGCTCAGCTTTAATCATTTATGTTAAAAACCACAAACCAAGCCACAAATCTTGGTGTAGGGGACTGGCGGATTAAAAGGACTTTTGTCTTATCAGGATTTGGAAACGCTTTATCTATCAGTCGACTCAACTACTGTATTGTTTATTGAAAATACTGATTTAATAAGGCACTGAATGGTTTAGATCTCTTGCTGTGTTATGAACCACCCAGGTTCATCTGCGACATGTCTGCTTTCTGTCCCCTTAGTCGAAACTAAACACGGAGAAGCAGCGTTCAGTTTTTATGCACCAATTATCTGAAACAAATTCCCTGAAAACTGCAAGTCTGCTGAAACTCTCAATTCCTTTAAATCAACAATGAAGATTTTTCTTTTTGCTGCTGCCACTGTAACCTTTACTCTCCTTTTTCATCTTGTTTTATTAAAGTCTTATTTAACTCTCTTTTAATTGTCTTTTTATATGATATGTAAAGCACTTTATATTACCTTGTTGAAATGAGCTATACAAATAAGCTTGCCTTGTCTAATGATGATTGTTGTTGTTTCTGTCTCCCTTCGCCTCCATCAGCTGCGTGTTTGACTCCATCTGCACTGTGACCGGCCCTACTGTCATAGACTTTCTCAGCCAAGTGAACTCTGTCCCGGATCGGTGTGCGTACTCTCTACTGTCGGGTTCGTCTGTCCCAGGCTTCCATGTGCTTGGGAACTTTCGGGAACGTCGACGTAAAGATGTGAGCTTTGTGGACAGTGTGACACTGCAACTAGACGGGCCGGTGTTCAAATTCAAGTGGACCAAGACGGGAGAGTTTGGGTAAGCTGCCTGCAGCCACAGTCATGTGTCAGTGTCCTTCCATCCTCTCATCTTCCTTCTCAGTGATGTTAGAAGCAGTCAGTGGTTGTTGCTGTGAAAACAGCCTGCGTGTTTGTGATGATTGAATCAGTGTTTCCTCCAATTTGTCTCTTTGCTGTGATGTAGCTGGACAAGAATACGTTGACCCTTAACAGCACAGCTCAGGTGGTTCACGGTGTGGAGCTCTCTAAGGATCAAACCGGAGTCACTGCAAAGGTGGTGCTGTCTAACAAGGTGGTGCTTGTCTTCTTTGATGGCAACACGGCACAGATCCACTTAAAAGGTACACAAACTAAAATCCTCCCACTCACTACACAAAATAAATGTCACACCAGTGCTCATTTGGAGCATCAGGAATGTAAACTTTGCAGTTCTTTAATGAGCTGCCGCGTTCATCCAGTTTGAAGGCGGCAGCTTACGACTCATTTTGATACTGATCTGACTCGTTTTCTGTCCTGAACATGTCCAGCACCTGGTGGAAAAGATCCATCTCTGCAGGGTTTGTGTGCCAACTCCAGTGTTCCTTTGAGCTCAGTGAGGCTCCCTGCTGCTTACAGTGCCAGTGGGTAAGACATCAATCACAACCCACTGAGTGTTGTTGATGAGAGGGCTCAAATGTAACAAGAGTTGGTTTTTGAACTTCAGTTCCCTAAATAATCTTAACATCTGAACTATCAATGTTTATTTGATTGACTCTGTATATTTAGTTTATTCTTTATCTCATAGCAATGACCATTTTCACTACTTTTAAATTTCTCTTGAGAAAGAAGAAAGGTTCTCCAGCATTTTCACTTGAGGACTGAACCAAAAATTAAAAGCCTATATTTCATTATTATATTATTACTATACTATATTATTATTTTATGCTTGAGACCATAACAATCAAAAAGAGCCTCTGTTTTTATATGAACAAGGGAAACAGTCCTGACCTTGTGTTGTGTGTCGCCCCCTAGCTGTGAAGTGCATTACAGTGACTCTGCTGACAGTTCGATCAACTGCACCATGATGACTGAACGGTGAGCAGATGAAACATCTGTCTGTATTACGCTTATCTCTGTAGTGACATGCTACATAAAGGTAAATGGACTGTACTTATATAAGTGCCTTCTAGTTTTACGACCACATCCAAGCAGTTTACACCACACATGTTCATACAATGACGCATGTAAGGTGCCAACTGCACATCAAAGAAACTAATTATTCACGGGAGCATTTTGAAGTTCAATATCTTTCCCAAGGAAACTTTGACATGACGTGATGTGAGGAGGGATGGAAGATAAAACCTCTCAATGAACTCAGGTTATCCACCTTTTGATCTGGAGAACATCTGTGTGACGTGAAACATAGTTTTGTTTGTTTTTAACTCCAAATTGTAGACTATAACACAACACTGGCTGGACTTAATCCGTCTTTCTTTCATTCTGTCCCTTTACATCTGTGGAACAGCTGTAATCTCCTGAATGAGGCTCCCTTCACCGCCTGTCACAACTACACCAACCCAGAGCCCTACATAACCGCTGCACCGACACTATGTGCAATTATCCTCCGGCAGACGGTCTACACTGCCAGTTCCTGGAGGCCTACGCCAGAGCCTGCAGCCTGTACAGCTCCAACACACTGGAGGACTTGATGTCAGAGGCCGGCTGCTGTAAGACTTTAATAAACTCAATTCAGTGAAGCTTTATCAGCCTGACTTTGTGATCATTAAACATCCAAATTAGATTAATTCAAATACTATTTGCGTTAATATTTTAAAACTCTGTGCAAGCAGGCTATATAAAAATAAAAGGGAAAAAACAAATGTTTTGTCTCTAATTTAAACTTTCACAGTTTTTACTGTAGTAGTTGTAGAGAATTTATTTCAGTGTTCTTGCAGTCATTATGTGTTAGTGACAGCATCAGTAAGTCATCTGCACTTTAGTCTTTAGTGTGATTTAATTATTATTCTCAACATGTCTCTCTGTCTCTGTCCCCAGCACCTCCTAAGGCTTTCTGTCAGGGCAAGATGTGCAATGCTCACGAGTTCTGTGCCGAGAACACGGGAGGTGAACCCAGCTGCTTCTGTCGGGCCATTTTTGCCTCTCCGTACATATATCAGCAGGCACTTTCGGTACGACAGCTACACACAACGAAGTCACGTGATTAAATTGTCCTGATTGTCAGAGACTCAAAGGTTTTCTCAGAGGGAGAACTGTTTCACACAGCTGAGCTGTTGAGGAGGCAGAAATGATGTCAGAGCTGCTCATAACTACAGTAAGAAGTTCAGCACTCAGTTAGACTGAGTGTTTGTTATCAGCAGCACAGACCTGACTTTTACCCCCCCTCAGGTCTTCTGAAGTCTGATGCTGAGATAAAAACTGGTAGTTTGGTT